GATATGCAGTTCAAAATGTGTAAAATCGTTTTCTCTACAATATGTGATCATAACGAAGTCGAAAAAGCAGTGGGCCAAATGCAGTGGAAAAGCGGGCCCCCTCCTTTGTTTAGAAGAACTATCAGCTGGGAATAGCAATAATTCTTTTTTATTATTGGACCGGCAGGTTGTGTCACACTTATGTAGACTATTTAATTAAATTAATTTTTGTTTAATAATATTCACTGGAGGCACACTGCCAATGAATGAGAAGATAATTGGGAATTCTTAACTAAACTTATTCTTAAACTAGCTACCTCTTTCATAAAACAAGTTACTGTAACCAATGAACTTGTTATTTTTATTGTCAACTTATATCTGATGCACGACCGTAAATTTGAAACAAATTCTTTCCGCGTGCGGTTGAATCCTATAAAAACCAGCAGCACGTATTTAGCAGCTGTTCGTTGCATATATTAAAGACAATAAAATAAGAAAAGAGCAAATGTTATATTTTCATAAAATGCTCGTCTTGAATATATTCAATGAAGAGGTGCAAAATACGTGATGCTCTGTTGTATAACACTAAGACTGACTTTTTACTCACATATACGTCAAGGTTGCTTATTCAAAATTTGGAGGCAAATTATAATTAGAAAGTCATTGCAAAGCTTGCCATTTTAAACGATAATCACCGATATTCACAGGCATATATCTCAAAAACAAAAGGTGATCCTTTTCTAAGAAATATATTCTAAGTATCCAAATTACAAAATATTATATACAGAATATGTACATTAAGTGTAACTTGTTAATTTAGAAGAAAATGAGCTAGCTATAATATAAGACAAGTATAACTAGATTATGTTATCATATATAATTCAGACAAAGTTTTTCTCAAATAGATCAGGCTCTTATAAGTGATCACTTCTACGCCCAGTCTGAATAAATGAAACTTTAAGACACTTATAATTCGAAACATTGATACATTTTTTAGAAAAAGGTTTCTTCTACTTTTTAAGAAATAGAGCTGTCAATCAATATCAAAGATAAAAGTTAGTAAAATAGATCCGTTTTCATTTAATTATAGTGATTTCACTGGAAAAAATAAATGTAGAACTTGGGCTTCTCTGACTATGATGTTCCGAAAAGTGATTAAGAAAGTTATGTTGGTCATTCCAAATTCGTGCAAACTCTTGGATCACACGAATCGACTGTACAAGTATTGTAATCGTCACAGCTGATTAGAGATCGGGTACGTACAACGCTTGTTTTGCACAAATCCACGGTGCAAGTATTGTTATCGTTACAGCTGATGGAACTATATGTATATGCAGCATTAGGATCGCACTTAACCGCCGTACAAGCGTTCTTACCGTTCGAAGTAGTACGCGTGTAGACGCAACCTATTGACGGAGAGCAAAAATCGACGGTGTAAACATTCTGATTGTTACAGTTGCTGAGTGTATGGGTACATCCAAGGCTTGGATCGCATGAATCGAAGGTATAAGTATTGCTATCCTCATAGCTGAGTGCCGACTGAGTACATCCAACGCTTGTATCGCATGAATCGAAGGTATAAGTATTGCTATCCTCATAGCTGAGTGCCGACTGAGTACATCCAACGCTTGTATCGCACGAATGGATGGTGCAAGTATTGTAATCATCATAGCTGATTACAGAATGGGTACATACAACGTTTCTGTTCCACGAATCGACTGTACAAGTATTGGGATCGTCACAGCTGAGTGGAAAATGGGTACATCCAACGCTTATATCGCACAAAACGACGCTGCAAGTAATGTTATCGTTGCAGCTGACGGAAGTATATGTACATCCAACGTTAGAATCGCACAAAGGCGTCGTACAAGCGTTCATATCGTTACATGTAGTAGGAGTGTAGACACAACCTGTTGATGCAGAGCATAAATCGACGGTGCAAACATTGTTATTATTACGGTTGCTGATTGTATGGGTACATCCAACGCTTTAATAGCATGTATGGACGGTACAAGAATTGTTCTCGTTACAGGTGAGGAAAGTATATGTATATCCAACGTTAGGTGGAACGAATCCGCCGTACAAGCGTTCCTATGGTTATAAGTAGTGGGAGTGTAGACACAACCTGTTGATGGAGAGCATAGATCGACGGTGCATACATTGTTAGCGTCCCATCAACGGTACAGTAAGCACATTTTTAGCGTCAGAGTTTACCAAATGATCTGTTCCTTCAAAAAATCTCTGCTAGATAGTAGACTACTATAGTGTAATAATGAATGCGTATTTCTAGCAGTATCTAGTCTAGATGGTTCTCTCTTCACAAATGAAAATCAGAACCATCGGGATTTTTTTCTGCCGAAAAAAAGAATACGAAGCGCTGTTTCACTAACATATGAATGGCTTTGTTACTGTCTGCACTTTTATGCAGTGTAGAGAGAACAGTGTTGATGGAGAGCATAAATCAACCGTGCAAACATTCTCATCATTACAGTAGCTGGGTGTATCGGTACATCCCAACGCTTGTATCGAACGAACGGTGCAGCTATTCCCATCGTCGCGGCTGACGGAAGCATATGCAAAAAATCCGTTCATCCCAAATCCTTTTGGGTAATAGGCTACTCCAGTATAATAATAGACGCATTTTTCTGGTAGTATGCAGTCTAGATGATTCGCTCTTGAGAAATGACAATCCGAACCATCTACATTTCTTTCAGACGGAGTTCCGAGCGGAGAAAGGGTAGATCCAACGCTTGGATCACAGGAATCCACGGTCAAGTATTGTAATCGTCACAGCTGAGAGGACACCCATCTCTTGCATGGCATCGACTGTACAAGTATGGTAACCCATGAAGACATTTTCGATACATTTATCGCGATAAGTGCTTGTTTTATGGAGGCCGTCACGGAGTTTTTGCAGTTATCGAGATAAATAATTTATCGGACAAAGTAACCTTTTTAGTGCCATAATTTTATTGTCGCGAGTTATCGATAAACAATCCGTATCGGGGTAATGGGCTATTTTGTCATGATAAAGTAATTATCGCGATAACTGCAAAAACTCCGTGACGGCCTCGATAAAACAAGCACTTATCGCGATAAATGTATCGAAAATGTCTTCATGGGTACTTCTTCAAGGATAATTAACCGTTATGTTTCAAAACATTATTCTTTTATCAACCTACAAAAAACACATAGAGTTATGTCGGATAAAAAGAATCAGTGCACGAAATTTCCTTCGTAATTTCACTATTTCTCATCCATTTTTAACTGAACAAATTCAATATTAGCCATGTTGGTAGAGACGATAATTATACACACACTAGTGCAACCATTTCCTGAAAATTCATGTTGGTTTTTCAGATATATTCAACTGAGAGTCGAGTCGTTTTGATTAACTTTTTTTACCTCATCGACATAAGTGAGTTGACTTCTTTTATCGCATGTGAAGTAAAAAGAATCAATAAAAACGACTCGACTCCCAGTTGAATATATCTGAAAAACCAACATGAATTTTCAGGAAAGTTTACACTAGTGTGTGCATAATTATCGTCTCTAATAATTAATATCGAATTTGTTCAGTTACGTAAAAATTATTATAAAATAAAATGTTGGAAATTGTTAGGAAAATCAATTAACGTGTCGACGAATTGGGACTGAATCGAACGTTGTATAACAGTAGAATACAACAATAGTAGAGGAATAGAGGATAGTAGAACACAGGAATAGACAGAGAATAGAGAAATACAGGATAGCAGAACGGAGGAATAGAGGATCAAAGAATCAGAGAAGCTACTCGAGATATAAACGGGTTATTCAACATACAAAGGATTATAAACGAATTACTGGTGGTATTTAAATACAATGTACTATATGTAATAAATTGATTATTCTATGTTGTTATCATGCAAAAAGGCGTCAAGAAGGAAATTGTCAAATAATCATGAAGAAAGGACTTTCTTTTTTTTGGCTCTTCAGTTAACAAGGTCTTACAACTAATTTTAATTCTAATTTGATTCTATCAACAAATTCAAAAGAATCTTTCAAATATGACCCAGTCTCTGACATTGCTGGTAATAATAAATTAACCAAATATTTAGCCATGTTGTGATTACAGTCAGGTACACCAGACGCTTACTTCCTACCTGAGGTGCATAAATGTAATATTTCTGTTCGTCCGGTTATTTCTAGTTATGGTGCTTATAATCACAACACGGTTAAATATTTGGCTAACGTATTATTAGCAATAACGCCAGAGGCTGATTCATACTGGAAAGATTCTCTTAAATTTGTTGATAAGTAATGTGATAAGTAAGGTGATTAGAGGTGAAAAAATAAGGTAAATTAACACAAAAAAATCTTCAGAATAAAAGTGAAATGAAATATTCTCATACCACGATAGATTTGAGATTACGTTAAAAACACTATAAAAAACCAGTGCGCCTTATCGCGGTATTCATCTGTATCGTGACAAACAGTAGGATATCCCGACACATCCCGATAAAAAAGCATTGTGATTTATCTAACTACTTCTATTCCGATATTTCAACAATTTAACGCGATACGAATCAATATTGCGATGTTGATCGATAAATATTTATCGCGACTGAAGGGAACATTGTTTTGCATCGGGGTAAACCATACAGATAACGCGGTAATAACTGACATCGCGATCTATCAGAACCGTCTGATAGATCGCGATCTAGAATTCATCTCGATAAACAATGTAGATATCGCGATATGTGGTTTTTGTTCTTAATATACCAACTTAATGCTTCACCCTTTAAATGCCATGCAGCTAATTTACTCCATTTACCTTGTGCATGGTCAGTTAAATGTAGTGCAACTTCCAGTTGGTCGATCCATGCTACCACATCTTCTTGCTTTGTACCATGAAAATCCTGAATTCTCTCTAATACATTTGGTATGTGTTGCTTACTTAAAACTGAGGTTAACGTAACTTTATCATCTGATCGTATTTTATTCTCATCTAAGATCGATGTTGTCCGAAATAAAGTGGTTGTGGATTTATCAATATATCCACGTTCATCCTCAATTGCAGTAGTCTCTTGTTTCGACTGTGTATTACAATCATTTTTGCTCATGTTTGATGTTAATTTGTTTGTTTTTGACCTTGTTCTATCTGCAATTACGTTCATAAACTTGAAAGTCAATATAAATCAATAATCGAATCGATAGTGCAGGCATTATTATCGTTCGAGCTGATGCAGATACCGTTTTTAAAAGAACAAGAATATCTTTTACAAACGATTTTGCCGCTAGCCGGACGATGATTAGTTATATCGTGCATTGCAAGAATCGACCGTGCAGGCGTCACATGTCATATTCCTGTACCGTGAAGCGTTGCTATCGTTACAACTGATTGTTGAATGTGTACATCCGGCGCTTGTATCCCACGAATCGACGGTGGAGGCAGTCATCAAAGCTGATTATTGATTAGACCCTTCCAACGCATATTCTTGTTCTTTTAAAAACGGTATCTGCATCAGCTCGAACGATAACAATGCCTGCACTATCGATTCGCAGGATCCAAGCGCCGGAAGTACCCATTCTATACTCAGCTGTAACCACAACGATACTTGCACCGTGCAATGCAAGCGTTGGATGTATCTATTCAGCAATCACATCTAACGATAGCAATGCTTGCACCGACGATTTGTGCTCTGCATTAAAAGGGTACGTGTTCATTCCTACCACTTGTAGTGATAACAACGTGTGAACCATCCATTCGATTGAAGTAGATTCCTGCAATCGAGGTTTTGGATGCGCCTAATCAACAATCAGCTGTGAGTACTACAACGCCTGCACCACCGATTCGTGGGATAGGAGTGCAGGATGTACCTATTCAACAATCAACTGTAATGATAGCAACGCTTGACAGTGCAGGAATGCGGCATGTGACGACTGCAACTCCTGCACCGTCGATTCTTGCAATGCAAGCGTTGGATATGCCTATTCAACAATCAGCTGTAACAACTACAACGGCTACACCGTCGATTCGATTCGTGCAGTGCAATCGTTTTATGTGCGATGTACAAATTCGAAGGTCCACTGTGATGATTAGAATACTGGTACAGTCGAGTCCTGCAATCGAAGCCTTGGATGCGCCTGATCAACAATCAGCTTTGACGACTAGAACGCCTGCTCCGTCTACTCGTGCCATACAAGCGTTGGGTGTAGCCATTCGACAATTAGCTTTACCGATAGTAATGCTTGAAACGCCGATTTGTGCGTTACAAGTGTTGGATGGGGCCATCATAGTATCAGCTGTGATGACTACAACGCCTGCACAGTCGATTCCTGGAATGCAAGCGGCGGATGTACCCATTCAACAAGCAGCTGTAACGATAGCAATGCTCGCACCGACGATTTGTCCTCTCCGTCGAAAGGTTGTTTGTTCACTCCTACAACTTGTAACGATAACACCGCCTGCACGGCCGCTTCGTGCAATGTACCGATTCTCAGCTCGAATGTCGACAAAATATTCGCCGACTGCGCTAGTTCTCTTTACCGTAGAGACAACTTTGGTGGCAGTCTTGCAGTTTATTGGTCATTGTTAGGAAGTGGATACGTTCACTCCCTAAGTTAAAGGTCATTCTGTTTTAACTGTTTCATCATGTATTTCGTCTATTCGTTCCCTTTTTATGTGTCATCATACATATGATCTCGTTCGGTTTTTGCGATATCATATGGTAGTTATCTATTTCATCAGACCAATGATCTTGTACGCTGATCTTTTTGTCGTCACAGCTGACGTCTACATAGAGACTTCCGGTGCTGTCATTGCATGAATCGGTAGTGCAGGCGTTGTTATCGTTACAGCTGACGTTTGCGTAGACACATCCAGTACTATTATTGCACAACTCCGTCGTGCAGAGGCTGTAGTCGTTGCAGTTAATTGTTGTATGGGCACATCCAGTAGTAGGATTGCAGGTATCGAACGTGCAGGCGTTGTTGTCGTCACAGCTGACGTCTGCATAGACACATCCTATGGTGCCCTGGCATGAATCGGTGGTGCAGGCGTTGTAGTCGTTGCAGGTTGTTGGTGAGTGGGCACATCCGGTGGTAGTATTGCAGGAATCCGCGGTGCAGGCGTTGTAGTCATTACAGGTTATTGTGGTATAGACACATCCAGTGCTTGCATCGCACGAATCGGTGGTGCAGGCGTTGTAGTCGTTACAGGTTATTGACGAATAGACACATCCGGTGCTCTTATTGCACGTGTCGGCCGTGCACTCGCTGTTGTCGTTACAGGTGATCGGATAGTGGGTACATCCTTCTATTGGGTCAAGCGAGTCGATGGTGCATGCATTGTTGTCGTTGCAGTTATTGGAGGAACAGTCTACAGGAAGAAGATTGGGAGGTTTCACTGTTTAAGATGGTGAAGATCGACGGGTAGTCATTGAGCATTGTACCGCTTAGGGGTGCAGATGCAGAAGTGGGCCGAGTTTTTTTGCGTTGTTTCTTTTTAAGTTGTGTGTCACGGGCTGCGAAAGATTGCAATCTTGTAGAAGCTTGTGTTGGTAGTTTATATTTTAGCGTAACGTTACTTTCGTTTGATACTGTGCCGTAGATGTGCAGATGGAGAGCAGTCGGTTAAGAAATGAATTAGAATGCATAGATATCGTCCATAAATGCTTTTTAATCAAAGGTGTGTGAAATTCTCGAGATTGTATTTTGATTTGCATATTAGGCACTTAGTAACTAATCGGTATTGCGCATGCGGCAGAGTAAAAACAGTCAAACACTTTCTCCTGGAATGTGCACACTATCGCCATCTAAGTTCAAAAATGACTGGCATAATATGGCACCTGGGTTATCTATCCCTCACACATAACCACATTTTACTGTCAGCAAAACTAGAAAACATTGATGACCTCACAATTACCCACCTACATAAAATAATCGTACAGAATATCAAAACTATCCAGCGTTGCTGAGTACTACTTGTCTCATTTATGTTTTCTCAGATATACCATCAGTCTCTCATGCACCTGCTTTTCTTCATAGTTCGTTTCTTCGCTTTCAGATGCACCTTTTCCCTCGTTTCGTTTTCCTTATTTTTTGTACGAACATCGGCAAAACAAAAGGATATAATGGATTCGCCTGTTTATTCTTCTTCCGTTCTGTTTCATTTTTTTATTTGTACACTATATCATGTTTATTAAATGAAGCCTATATCTAGGACTGTAAAAGTTACCGTTACTTCTTCGACCGTTATCGACAACGGTAACTGAAAAGTCAGTTATCGTTAAACAACGGTAACTGCGTTTCCAGTTACCGTTGAAATAACGGTAGCTATCAGTTAGTTAACTTTGTGGTAACTATTTTTTAAGTATGGCAGAAATATCCAGTCAGCGGCTTAAAATGGCTTCCAAATAGTGGCGTAACCAGGGGTGAGCTAGACCGGGCGCCGCCCGACGACCGGGAGAAACAAAAAATAATTATTTCCACTAAGATTTTTGTCGAATAATGTTAAAATAACTATTATTTGTTTATTTATTTCATTTTCTTTTTCTCTTTTGTTCACATAATTTCACTTAATAAAAGTGCAGATACAGTGTATTGTCTTTCTCTTAAGAAAGTGAGAATTGAGCAACTGTACTTCAGTTGTGGAAAAAATTTAAACTATCGTGGATGAATTTTTTAAAGGTCGTGCGGCACTGCCCTACCACCCACGGATTCCTGATTACGCCACTGCTTCCAGAATCGTTAGTTTCCACTAAAACTGTTGAAACTTGCATAAATGGCATGGTTTTGTAGTCTAATTTCGTTGATGAAAACAAAAAGGTTTCTCAAGCTGGCCGTAGATGCTGAGGTCTCCGGAGACCTTAAAAACCGCAGTTACAAAACGTTGAAGTTATATAATTTCGATTAGTTTGGGCGACTGGCACGTGTGTGCCAATCAAAATCATGTCATTTATGAAAGTTTCAACAGTTTTAGTGGAAAACTAATGATTTTGGAAGCCCATTTAAGCCGCTGCCTGGATATTTCTGCCATAATTAAAAAATAGTTACCACAAAGTTAACTAACTGGTAGTTACCGTTAAAGCAACGGTAACTGTGTTGTCAGTTAGCGTTAAATCAACGCAACGGCAACTTTTACAGTTCTACTTATATCAACAAAACGTACCGAAATGCAACAATAATCTGAAAGATACTGTTCTAGATCCAGCGAAAGACGCTGAATCCAATGCAGTATTCAGGATTGACGTAGGCTTTTGGCTTGATGGAGAAAAACGCATTGCAAAATGATCGGTTTCCGCCTTTCCACTAATTTTGTAACTGGTGGTGCGGGCGATAGGAATGTGATAGGGACTTGGTTCTTTCGCTATTCAACTCAGAATTAGTCAAGGTATATTTGATAAAAGCTCCAGCTGAGTAGCTCTTAATTTGACTGAATAAATCGCAATGCAATTTGGTCTTGCCCCATGGGAGATGAAAAACCCCAACTGTGCCCCGGATATCGTGCCGAGTTTTAAAAAATTAATATATAGCCTCAGAGACGAGTTTTCGTTGCTGAATTGAAGTCTCAATTTTATTCACAAAATTAAAGGACTTATGATAAAAACAATAATGACCGGAAACTTTTTCCATGACTTGCATTTTTGACACAATTGACGCCAAATTAGTTCTCTTACAATTAAAAGATTTAGCGTCAATGGTACATCGAACACAACACCTCAAAAAATCCACACTACACAGAAGGAAAAACTCGCCTAATCGTTGCTAATAGTACGGAACCTTCAAAACCGCAGTTTTTTAACAGTGGTCACGGTACACTCTTCCTGAAAGTTTTATTTGCAGTCTTCTGTATATGCTGAAAATCTGCTGATGTCAAAAATGCCTGATTTGAAAAATAGCATTAAAGTTACAGAATATTTTTGAACTTATAAAAATTGAAAAAAGTCGTGTGTTCCCTTATCGAGATTTTTTTATAAAAAATGTATTTTTAACTTACTCTCTTTAATCTATTTCATACAAAAAAAACGAGCTTTTCAGTACTTTGTCTCAGCTCACAATTAGCGTGAACATTTGTGCAAAGACTGCTGCATCTACCCGTTAATATTTATTCACTTTGTTTTAGCTTAAAGAAGAAACGGGCTCTCGTGAAGAGGTGCGTTATGGTAATCTACTGACGAGCAGCTGTAGACTCACTTGGCTTTGAGATGCACGTTCGTGTATTAATATTTGTTATACTTAACAGGAACAGTAAACCAATAGAGAACATGATTTGTATTTCTTTCTACTGTAATATATTTTCAGTTTCAGCTAAAATTGGAAGAATGAGAGCAACATAAGGAGTTTTTATACGTGCGAAGGAAAAGGGTAGATTTAATGTAAAATGAATGTTTTGAAAGTTAGAGAAAAATAAAAGAGCATTTGATAGAGGAAAAATGTGTCGCAATGGAAGAGAAGATAATTGCAAAAGAAGATGTGAAAGTGCAAAAAGATTATTTCCTACTGCTGGAAATAATCTTTTTGCACTTTCACATTTTTTTTTGCAATTATCACCTCTTCCATTGCGACACATTTTTCATCTATCAAATGCTCTTTTCTTTTTCTCTAGCTTTCAAAACATTCGTTTTATGATATTTTTATTACATGGAAGTTGAGTTCTGATTGGAAAAATTGAACATTAGGAGCAGAATTCCGACTTTTTCGCCACAAGTTTAGAAAAAATGAATTTTCTCAACGGCAAAAGAAAATTTAAAAAAAACAAGCATAGTTTAAAGCTGAATTCAAGGCGCATTTAATTTTGGTCAAATGAGGACTCCAGCTATTCACACAAAAAACGAGGTTTATAAAATGACCCACACCTATCCCCGATGGTTGCTTTCGGAGACAAGGTTTTAACTTCGAAACCGATCAAATACCATTTTTTAATTCAAAAAAATAGAAATTTACCGTCTACCTACTTTATACATGAGCATCGTATAACCGTTATGCCATTATTTACAGAGATAGTAGGTTACAAACAACTTGGTTTCGATTTAATGAAAGTTTGTGTACATTCATTCTGGATTTTAGTTTTGTCCCGCGAGAATATAAGCAAAAAGCTGAATAAAATTACAGTTTAAAGAAACAAAATAACTTCTCATGTGGTCAATAAATCGACGATTTTTAGCGACTAATTAAGCTCTGTGCCTAATGGGAACCGTACAGCGAAATGTGTGTCTAATTCGAACCGTCCCGTTGAAATTATTGATTGAAATATTTCGCACAAATAATAATAATAACCTAACAGTTATACCTGTTTTAAAATGCCTGTGAAAGGGTCGTTTGAATACATAATACATATGCTTTCCTTACTCAGAGATTATAATATTACTAATTCGTCGGAACAATCTCGAAATTGGCTCATTGTGTACAAAGCAGTTACTGAATTATTTGTGCGAAATATTTTCTACAATGTCCTATGAAATACTGTAGAAAATAGGTTTTACTAAAGCGTTGAAAACTCGTGTAATTTGGACGGGATGGTTCGAATTAGACACGCATTTTACTGTACGGTTCCAGTTAAGCTCAGTACCTACTGTGCAACCATCTCGTTTTTACATACACTAAAGTATGGTAAGTATAACTTGGTCAATTTTAGTTCTACAAATCTCGAATTAGTGACATTCTTCGGATTATGACCATATAAAAGCTTCTTAGTTGATCTTACAAAATCTTTTCAAAAATAGGTTTTACTAAAACGTTGCAAACCCGTATAATTTCAGCGGGGCGGTTCGAATTAGACACACATTTCGCTGTACGGTTCCCATTAGGCACAGAGTTTAATTGGAACCAAAACGACCCTCTCTTTAGTAACTCTTCCTGGGATCCGTCTCAGATGGGAATTTCGGAATAATTTTTAGATCATTAAACAGATAAAACTTTCAGCTACAAAAGCCCCCAAATTCGGCGGAAATCGTTTTAAAAGTCACTCAGATACTAGAGTCATAAGTTAGAGAAATCTGGTTGCGATTTCAGTTAGAAACTTTACTGTAGCCTACGATGTAAAATAGTCGCTGAGCAGAAAAATTGAACAACGAAATAACAGTGCACCATCTGGACAGAAAGCGATGTAACTGAAAAAACGTACATAAAATGAATGAGAAATCGGAAAAGAGTTAAGAAGAGATATGATCGAAAAATGTGACTCATGGTCACTGAGATCATAACATATGTTTTCGGAAAACCTTGTTCCTTTTTAAAACTACAGTGAATGGTTGATATCAACCCATGTCGTTAAAATCGCTCCATTCTGGACGATCACTTGCGATTAGCAATAAAATCGCGAATTAATCTTAATTTTGACGATAATCGTCCATAAATTGCGATATATCGGCGATTTGTAACAACTGGTAATTAATCGGCTTGCATGAAAAATCCTCAATTGTTAAAAATCACCAATATATCGCCATTCCTAAAAACATCGCAAATTAAGTATCGTTAATTAGTGATCCTGGTGACTTTTCTGTTTTTTTAATAATGGTCAATTATTTGAGATTAACTGTTGACTTTAAGCCATTCAATGGTCTTTTGTTATTCACCGTTTTATTTTGCAGTAGAGTAAGTATATAAGAAACGACTTCAACGAGAAATATTCTTCTTTTCATATTATCTTTCTAGTTTAACTTAAAACGAAGTTATCGAAAGTGTTCGCTGTAGTTTCCTCAGAGTTGACTCATTGTGTCGACTTGAGTCAGCTTTGAACCGAGAAGCCCGGTTGTCCGTTAAACTAAAAACTTGTCGATTAATAGCTATTAACTGGAAAAATCGCTAAAAAGTCGCCGATTTATTGACGCTTAAGCGCACGATAAATCGGCTGATTAGTCGCTAAAAAATCGTCGATTTATTGACGATTTTGACCACATGAGAAGTTATTTTGTTTCTTTAAACTATAATTTTATTCAGCTTTTTGCTTATATTCTCGCGGGACAAAACTAAAATCCAGAATGAATGTACACAAACTTTCATTAAATCGAAACCAAGTTGTTTGCGATCTAGTATCTCTGGAGATAATGGCATAATGATTATAGGATCTTCTTTACCATCAACATCATCTAGACATGATCTAATCCCGCAGACCGCAATAAATGATTATTTAACTAGCGCGTCAAAACGAATGACATTACATCATAATTACGTTGATAAACTAACAGACAAATTTAATATAAATGATTGTGTTGCAGTCCAAATTGACACTGCCGATCGTACTAAGACGAATTCCGGTAACTTGCTTCCTGGGAAGATGCCTCACGGACACTTGCCCTCCGCGTTTTGCCCTTCGGACATTTGCCCGCCACGGATACTTGCCCACGCGGAAAGTTGCTCCCACCAATTAAAACGGACACTTGCCTCCACCACTTGTGGAGAGCACTTTTCTCTTAACCATTTTCTAGAATTGGACCTTTTCGGTATTAGAAGCCAATGATTGCCTGGGATACTTGCCGTATACGGCGCACAGTTCGTTTCAAATTTTTAATATCAGGTAACGAGGCTACGCCGATGTTTTATCAACAATATAAGCATATCCAGCGTGAATAAAGATTGGTTTACCTTTAGTGGTTTCCATGTCTGTATTCTTCACGATGAAATCAGGATGTGACTATATTGATAAGTTGATAGACAGTATAAATGAAAATAAGAGAAATTGAATTATTACATGTGTGTCTATAGATTTATCCTTCCCCGTGTGTCTTTATCTTCAGCTATACAGCAACTAGTTCGGCAACATTATTTTTTTCTGACGAAACTTGTAAATTGAGAGCAAATTGTTCTCCGCAAGAACGAGCAAGTGTCCGCTATAATCGACTGAGGCCAACTGTCAGAGGAACAAATGTCCGAGGGCAAATATCTGTGGGGGCGTCTGTCCGCCAAGAGCAAATGTCCGTCGGGCAAAAATCCGGGGGGCAAATGACCGGGGGGCAAATTGCCGTTTACCACTAAGACGGCAACTTGCTACAACTTTTACCTTGTATTGTTATTGAAAAAAATAAAAAGGGTCACTCCACTGTTTTTAAATTGGCGTGTCAATATGGTGTACTACAAAATTCATTCTCAGGTGATCATCTTGTTGAATTAAAATCTTCTTGTCCAGAAGTTTTAAAAGAATTGAATATTGGTGAATTAACTGATATAAGTTTCATTGAGGCATGTAAATTGTTTGCTAGAGGATCAGCTAGTGGTACAACGCGTGATTGTAAAAGTAAATGTGCAACAAAACATTATCCGTGTAAAAGAGCTGGAGTTGCTTGTTCTACAAAATGTCATAGTAAAAACGGGACCTGCAAGAATATGGGGGATTAAAATGAGCATTGCTTAAACTGTACATTGTTGTTTTTTTCCTCTGAGAGCTGCACGTGTTGTGAAAAATAATGAAGTGTAAATATTTTGATTTATTTTAATATTCATTCCTAATTAGAATAAGTAAAACCTTTACGAAAGCCAAATTGTGGAAATGGACATATCGAGCGTTATGAATATACAACCAAGCTATATTTTTATACAAAAAATTTAAAAAAAACCAAAAAGATTCTGGATCACTTCAATAATCATGCCATCTTTACGCGGTGAAGTGGATAAGTATCCTGTTGAGTAACAACCTAGATTCTCATTACGAGTATGAACAGGAGCGTTACTGGAAAGATGAAACCAAGAGAATGTTTTTATATCTTTTCTTGACTTTTTCTACGATAAAATTGAATAACTACAGGCAATATGCACTTTTTTAACGCTCATCTCACCATTTTGTTTTTATTTGAATTTTGACTAAAAATTTCCAAAAAAACAGAAAATCTTTGAAATTGAATTTTGACCGAACAAAATCTAAATTTGAATTTTATCCAAGAAATTTCTGGTCAAAC